AAGTTTGTGTGAATTATGATTTAGTTAACATCATAATGGTGACACCGAAAGCTTTCTGTATAAGATCATAATACAGGGATGCCCATTTTCACACATATGTGAAAACATAGTGAAAATATATGTGAAATAGCCCTAGAGTTTCAGGTAATTAGGAAAGAAAAGGCATACAAATTGGAAAGGAAGTAGAACTACATTTGCACATGATACGAAAATCTAAAAGGACAGACACACAGTTATACACAAACAGCAGAGCTAATAAAGTCAGCAAAGTTTCAGAGTACAAGAGCAATATGCAAAAGTCAGTTATATTTCTATGTAACAGCAATAAATAATCCATTAAGGAAATCAAAGAAACTGTTCTATTTATAATAGCATCCAAGAGAACAAAATACCTAGAATTTCATGGAGGTGAAGACACTGAAAATGCTAAAACATTCCTGAGGTTAGACATAATGGAAAATACCCTTATTCATGGATTAGTAGATTTAGTATTGTTAAGATGCACAGTCTCCCCAAATGATCTGTAGATTGATGTGATCCCTATCAAAATTCCAACAGCCTTTTCTCTAAAATGGAACAGACAGTCCTAAAATTGATATGGAATCTAGTGGGAATCTTAAAGAAAAAGCAATCATGGAAGAGAAAAAAGATGGAGGATTCATACGTCAGGGGGAGCTGGAATTGCTGGACATTCACATGTGAAAGAATATGGACCACAACCTCACATCATATACAAAAACAAACTCAAAGGGGACTAACAACCTAAATTTAAGATCTAATCCTATCAAACTCTTAAAAAGACAACACATGGTTAAATCTTCACAACCTTGTATTTGGAAAGACATTAAGAGAAGATATCAGAAGCAAGAGCAAAAACAAACAAAAACTCTAGATAATTGGACTTAAAATTAAAAAACTGTATGCACCAAAGGGGATTAAGGAAAACAAGACAATGTACAGAATGGAGGAAAACAACTGTAAATCATGAGTCTAGTATTCAAAACTTACAAAGAATTCTTACAACTCAATGGTAAAAGACAAAAAAAAGTGAAGGAACTTTAATAGACATGTCTCCAATAGACAGATGCCCCACAAAGTACATAAAATACCCACTAGGATGGGCATAAAAAAGGAGTCAGGAGTGGTGGCACACACCTGTCATCCCAGCTATTTGGGAAGCTGAAGCAGGAAGATCACACGCTGAATGCCTGCCTCGGCAACTTAAGTATGTTCCCCAAAATATAAAAAGGTCTGGGAATGTAGAGCTCATGCATACCCTGGGTTCAATCCCTAGTACTGCAAACGAACAAAGATAAAAAGGAAAATATTGAGCTATAGAAAAATTGGAACTCTTATACATTCCTGGTAAAAGTGGAAAATGGCTTAGCCACTACAGAAACCAACATGGCAGTTCTTCTGAAAGGTAAAGATGTAAACGTGCCGGCAGTTCCCCTCCTAGCCCATACAGATAAAAATTGACAACAGGTACCCAAACACATATACATGTTCAAATGTAGCACTAATAACTATAGCTGAGAAATGCAAACTATCCAAATGTTCCACAAATGGATACATTTATGGCATACTTTATGTGTCATATGAATGAATTGTTGGTTTTTAAGTACTGAACTTCACCTCAGAAAAATGAACAAGCAAAAAGGAGGCCAGATGACTCCTAAGATTACATAAAGCTTGAAATTATAGTTCTGTAATCAGTCCATCTCCATTTTTGAGAAACAATGTAGAAGGTAAAAATACACTTGACAATCAGCTTTTCAATGTCCTACTCTTAAATATGAAGGAAAAAGCAAGGACTACGATATTAGAGGAGTATTTGTAATATGAAATAGAACCAAGTTAATGAGGAGACAAGCCCTGAGACCAAGGGGATCCAGGAGAACCTCAGTAGGAGAATGCCAATTTGTCTTCAAAGATCTGAAAAAAGAACAGATCTGCAGGATTCACAAATAGGTGAATCAGTGCTCTTAAAGGTTAAAATCCCAAATGCCAACATGAAAAACTCAAATGGTTTACATGGAGCACTGAAAAAACTAGGAAAGACTGAAATGATCAATTAGGAGGTAATATATAGCAAATGGAGATCTATAAGGCTTACCATCCAGTAAGAGTTTGAGAGGAAAAACAAGAAATGTTTAAAATTCTCTTGCTGCTGCTGTAGAACATACATTTGTAGGATGAAAGGATTCAGACCACCTGGTAAAAAGCATGGTTAGGGTTGGGAAATGCAAGGCCTTATGCCATTTCCTGACAGCAGGTCTAAAAAGCTCTGCAAAATTTCTGGGAAGCATAAAGGTGGGCAGGAAACACACTTTAACGGAAATAAACTAAATAATAGGATACAATGCAAGTGCCTGCCAAAAGCTATCAATCATGAGACTATTACATTTGAGAGATCCTGAAAACTTTTTTCACTGATACTTGATCATAAGCTCCAGCAAGACAGCAAGACAAGCACACCAAGCAGCAGAAGCAGGAGGGTGGCAAGTTCTAGGCTGGCCTGGGGACAGCAAGACCTTGTCTCAAACATCAAAAGCAAGTGGGAGAGAAAGGTCAGGAAAGAGTGGCTTTCTTAACAGAAATACAAAGGAAGGTCCTGCAATATGAAACAGGTTTGGAGGGAAACCAGATGTTTGAAGCAGAACTGGTGGTTACAACATGGAGCTCTTTGGGAAAACTGTTACTTGATAGAATATGAAGTAGTTGAAAAGATTAAACTCATAATAACTACAAAATAAGCCAGGCGTGGTGATTCATGCTTGTAATCCCAGGACTCAGGAGGCTGACGCAGGAGGACTGCCCTGAGTTCAAGCGCAGCATGAACTACATATTGAGAGCCTGTCTCAACACCTCTACCCCAAATTACAGAACAGCGTTAAGAAGGAAAAAGTTGAAAATATCCACATAAAATTTGCAGGCTATACAAGGAAGTAAAATCTTAGTTCAGGACCTGCCTCAGCAGAGTAGAGTTATAATATGAACCTGCATGAACAAACTAGAACGCAGAATACCATCTATAAAAGATGGAAGGGGGGAAGCGGTAAAAGAACCAGATATTCATATTACGTAAATCAACTTATCCAGATGTATTACAGCATACCACATAAAAATGGCCAAAATGTTAACTACCTTTAGCTAGCGAAATTGAAACAGGACAGCAGGGACCCTGTAGTGTTAGTGTATTTTTTTTGAAAGAATGTGTATGCTTTCTAGCTTAGTACTTTTTTCAAATCAATGAAAATGAATGTTTATATCTTGTGTACTGTATTTTTAGTATAACACCAGTTACTTTTGCCAAAATAAATCAATCCATTTAATTCCTGTATGTTTAAAGTTTATTTGCAGTAAAATGTGACTTAAGCCTCATTCATGTAATAAAGGAAGCTATGTGTTGTCTGACTGGTGTCTATTATTACATAAACTAATGTGCTCAGTACTTAACATATGCCTGAATTTGTTCAAAGTACTTAAACATTTTTACTTCTTATAGGCTGAGCAAAGTAACTCTAAAAGACAGGACTTATTATACCCCCCCTTAAACATGAGATCAATGAGTTTCAAGAACTCAGTAGTGCCGTACCTGCCTCACAAGTGCAAGGTCCCGAGTTCAATCCCTGGTACGGGGGGCTTGGGGGTGTCATTCACCTCGTCTACAGTTAGACCTGAAACTGGAAATCAGGTATTCAGGTCCCAAGGCTCACAGTATGTTGGTTTCAATTATCTAAAACTAAGAACATTTTCCCATGTTTCTTCTTTTTTTGAGACAGGGTCCTCCTAGGTAGGTGGGGTTGGCCTCAAACTTGTGATCGTCCTGCCTCACCCTCTCATGTTTTTGTTTTTATTTTTATTGTTTTTGGTACTGGGGATCCAACTCAGGACCTTGCGCTTGCGCGACAGGCGCCAGAACCACTGAGCTGGATCCCTGGCCCCAGGCTCTCCTGTTGCTGGGATCACAGGCCTGTGCTGCAGCACCCGACCTCTTTCCTTCTCCCAACTCACCGAATCATTCCGGGTTCAGTTTGCTTTTGAAAGTGCATGTGAACACTGACATGGATGGATAGATAGAACAAGATATAAGAAAGACTATCAAGCAACAACACGTAACATTAAAAGTCTGTATTAGTGGGATGGTAGATTTGACATCATGAATCACAGCAATTACTACAAATTAAATTTGAAGGGCAGACCAAGTAAAAATGGCCTCTACTAGCAGATTCTTTTAGAAACTAAGTCTGCTTAACAGAAACGCTGTATATAATTTGTTGTGTTGTTCTCTGCATAAAAATGTCATGGAAGGATTGAGTAGAAACATATGAAATCATCGTTCATTTATTCATTAATGCTGTCAAATTCAGTTTTCTATACACTATGATGCTTATTCCATTTTGCACTATTAGATACACATATTTAAAAAAATATTTAACTTATTTATGAGGAAATTAAATATTTTCTGAAAAAAAAATCATTTTGTTACTGT